TAGGCTTAGCCCATGTTTTTATGGGCTTGCAGTACAAGGGTAAGGGAAGTTTAATTTGTGCTTGCTCAGCTGCATTCCTGATGAAAATCAGTTCTGTTGCACAACTGTGAGCCTTTGGTGTGTGTGTGTGTGTGTGTGTTTGTAAAGATTAGGTAGTAGCATCCAGCTGAAGCTTGGCTGATCAAGCAGGATTGGACCTGGTTAATACTTGGATGGACAATCATCAAAAAAAGCCTGATCTGTAGGCTGAGAAGTTGAAAAAAACCTCTCAGAAGAAGGTACGAAAACTGCATGGATGTCTCCATGAAGTCATCTGGAATTGAGCTAAGCCCAAAGGACACTCTATTTATCATGTATGTGAAAAAGAGTCAAGCAGCTGAGTGGGCAATAGGCTGTGCAGATCTACTGATGTCAAAAGATTTTCTAGCTCAAATCAAATGTTTTCCTTTATGTATCAGGAGATTGCTGATTTGCATCGAGCAGAATAAATGGCATAGAATAAATAGTTTTTGTTTGCTGAGGCTTTTAAAAATCTGAAATAGCAAGTAAGCATTTTAGTAGGTAGAATTTATGGACAAAACATAAAATAAACAGCTGTGCGTGTCACGTTCAGCCAAGCCTCTCTCCTTTTAACTGCATGAGTTGCTTAAAGGTTAGTGGACCTGTTGATTTTCAGTCTGACATCTTTCAACTTTTTCTGTGTGGGCTGTTGATTGACTGATTATGCTGTCACTTCCTAACTTGTTTGCTTGGCATTGTGATGCTTTCTACCGTAGAAATCGTAATGGATATTGGTGTTCCATGGTTAAATAAAGCCACTGATCGTTTGTCGCATTGGAATTAGTTTTAGTGCTGCCATTCCCTACTTACAGGGAAAGGGGAACTTTTGTTGTTGTTGTTTAATTTAAACAGCAGCAAGCATTTCAACTCTTTGTCTGATGCTCTACAAATTGTTTTAACAAAACTTGGTAATTGTTTGTGTAGGCTGCTGCTTCTAAAGTGGGCAGGGAAGCAAGCTGAGAAGCAATTACAAATCAAGCGTTTCAGAAATCTGTAACAGGCAGCGAGAACTCCAGAGAAAGGGGTGATTCTTCTAACTTCTTATCTTGGTCATAAAACGTGACATGGTATGACTCCCTGACATCAAAAGCCTATTATTAATTAGCAGGAAGAAAGTGCTAAGAATAGTAAAAAAAAAAAAAAAAAGACCATAATATTAAAGAAATGGAGCAGAGTGGAGTAGAGTAACAAATGGTTAGTAAAGAATTGTGAACAATGAGAAAAACAAAAAACATTGAAAAGAAATATGAAAAGAGAACTTATAAATTTCTGTATAAATGCATAATAATTCCTGGAGAACAGTCAAGTGTCAGCTCAGCCTAGCTATTCCCAACCTGGTATCTTTTGACTCCACAAATCTTTGGAGGCTGAAAGGCTAAGGAAGACTGTAATTAGACTATCTTAGTCAGATTGGCATTTTTAATAGTTCCTCAGTGATATGTAAATGTTGGAGTGCAACCTGACATTATAACTCTCATACAATATTTTACTGAATTCAACCATTCTAGGGTGCAGAATCATGTACAGCCTGGAAGATAAATTGTGGTAAAGTTGGTAGTGTTTAATTTTGAGCAGACATAGAGATACTCATAAAACTATCCAAAAATGTCAGTACTATCAGTGACCTTTCCCAAAATTATATGAAAATCTATCTGTACAGGTATTTGTTCTAGTGAATATTACAGGAATAAGAATAGTGATTCATGGTGACACACACAAAAAATTAAATGTCACATTAGTGGGATCTGATTTGGTAATGACTATTCAGGAAAGGGATCTTTGAGCTAAGTGTAAATGTCAACTTAGTGTGCAACTGCTGTTAAAAAAAGCACAGGGCAAAGATACCAGTTCCATGGCGGGAACAATTAGAAAGGGGATTAAAAATAAAACTGCCAATCTGTAATGTCATTATACAAGTGTATGATGCAGTTGCACTTGGAGTTCTGTTCTGGCCTCAAGAAGTGAAATGTAGAGCTGGAAAGATGCAGAAAGGAGTGGTCATAATGATTGATTATGTGCCATCAATCGGTGTTCACTTTTAGCGACCACATACATTTCCTCCATGACAATCTGCCCCTAACCTGGTCTTTCAGGTTTTCCAGCAGTGCGTGCGTTGCTGCTGTAACTGAGTCCACCCACCTTGCTGCTCGTCATCCTCTTCTCTTTCCTTCCACTTTTCCTAGCATTATAGACTTCTTCAGAGAGCCAGGTCTTTGCGTAATGTGTCCAAAGTGTGGTAATTTGAGCCTGGCCATTTGTGCCTCAAGTGAAACCTCTGGGTTTATTTGTTCAATCCATTTATTTGTTTCCTTGGCTGTTCACAGTTTTCTCAGGAGTCTTCTCCAACACTAAGGTTCAAAAGTGTCAATACTCTTCCTATCCTGCTTCTTCAAAGTTGAACTTTCACTTCCACGGAGTGTCACAGGGAATCCTATGGCTTGCACTATTCTGATCTTCATAGGTGTAGACACATCATGGTATCTGACTGTCTTTTCCAAGGCCTTCATTATTACTCTACCAAGTGCTAGTTTGCAACATATTTCTTGATTGCTTGTTCCTTTATTATTGATCCTAAAAGGTAGAAATAATCTCATCACGTTGATATCTTAATTGTCAATTCTAACCAGGATGATTAGTAAGGTTAAAAAATGTCTCTTACAAGCAAAACTACAATGTTTGGGGTTCTTTAGACTAGAGTTAAGATAGATAAGAGGAGTCAGGGTATACAAAATCACATATGGCATGGGGTAAATCCACAGTGTTAGAATTTGGGGATCATGCACTAAAATGAAATATGAGAAGAATGAGGACAGAGGAAAGAAACTTTTCGCATAACAAAAAGCGATGGCCATCAATATACTTATGCACATTGACATTTTAGCAATCAACAGCGCTATACACAATTCAAGTCTGTCTTTTTAGGAGGTGCTCTAAGTCAGTTTTATCTGGTGAAAGTGATGCAATCTATTATTTGTCAATTGCTGTCAAAGGTTATCTGTCAAAGCTAAGCATGTCTTTTTAATAAAAATATATATCAGATTTGTGTTCTACTAACTGGGGCAGAAGCTGTGTGCTTGCTGAGTGCTAAGGATCTTGCAGGCATGCCATTGTCAACTACTGAGCTAAAAGACAAATTAATATTTTCTCTAGCTGCTGGCGAAACAGCATGATCCATTCCCATGATATTCTGGTGTTCTTTGGAATGGGCCAGTCTGTGCATTCAAGAGTACTTCATTCATTTCTGGAATAGGAAGTAGTTTGTAGTATTCCAGTTGTGATCTGGCCCAAAAGCAGACAAATCACCCTACCAGGAACAGACCATGCTATTCTACTCAATCCTATTTCTACATTTTTATTTTTATTTTTTTTTGTGCCTTCAAGACAGTTTTGGCTCTTGGGGATTGCCTGGAGTAGTCCCTGCAGTATTCTTGGCAAGCTTTTTTGGAAGTGGTTGTCATTGCCTACTTCCTTAATATTTACTGTATATCATTAAGTAAATTGTTAAAATGTTAAAATAAATACAATTATAGTCTTGTTTTTGTTCCATATGAATTATGATCTTTAGAAAGACGAGAAAAACAAGGATATTGAGATTTGCCTTTTTCTTGCTTCCTTTCTACCATTAATGTGGCCAGAATATATTTTGCACCATGTTTTAATGCATCAAGTATTTGTAATTTATTCGATGATCCATTTGTTTCTTTTTTTTGGATATCTGAGGTGTTCTCAGGAGTCTTCTCCAACATCAAAGTTCAAAAGCATGAATACTCTTTCTATCCTGCTTCTTCAAAGTTGAACTTTCACTTCCATACAGCATCATGGGAAATAACATTGCCGGCACGATTCTGATCTTTGTAGATGTAGACACATTCCAGCGTCTGAATATATTTTTCAAGGCCTTCATTTGCTACTCTACCAAGTGCTAGTCTGTGGTGTATTTTTGACTGCTTGTTGATGGTTGATCCTAAGAGGCAGAAGCTGTCCTTCACTTCAGTGTCTTCACTGTCAGTTCTAAGGCTGGTTGCTGTATCTGTTGTCATTAGTTTCTTTATATTTAGCCATTGTCATTAGATCTTCTTTATATTTAATTTTAGTCCCATTTTTTTACTGTGCTCCTTGACTTTATTTACTAGAGCTTGGAGATCAGTTGCATTTTCAGCTATCAGAATAGTCCAGCTTCCCTCAGTATATATTCTGCATATAGATTGAGTAAATTAGGGTATTATACAATAATACTGCTCCGGCTTACGTACACATTTGACTTAAGGACAGACTTGCGGACTGAACGCATTCTTAAACTGGGGACTACCTGTATACGTCTTCCATCTTTTTGATCTTCTTTGAATCAGTTACCATCTGTCCTTTGGCGGCCTTTAGTCTACCAGTTCAAGGTTGGAACCTCCTTCTGCATTCAGAGATCTTTTGGAAGACTTCCCTTGTTTTTCCATATCTGTTTCCATCTTCAGTGTTTTTATAGATGTTGTAATACTGATTTTTGTCTCTCCTGACAGCTCTCAGAATTTTTTTGTGAAGTTTCTTCCTGAGAGCTTTGTCTTTCTTGGCTTTGTCTTCTTTTCTCTTCTTATTCTGATATCCAGTTTGCTTTCTTCTGTTTCTTTATCTTTGGCTGTAGATTTTCACATTTATCCTTAGCAATTTCTATAAGTTCATTCCATAGTTCTTCTGGTTCCCAGTCAGTGAGGTTCGGAACTTCAAAGTGATTCCTGATGTTCTCCTTGAAAATGGTGGGTATATGGTCAAGATCATATTGTGGAAACTGATTGGTGTTCTTTTTTGACTTTAGCATAACTTGAAACTTGCACATGAGCAATTCATGATCGATTCCACAGTCTGCTCTGGGCCACATCTTTGCCATTATAACTGAACTCTTCTACCTCCTTCTACCAATAGTCAGTTTGATTTCCGTGTACTCCATCTGGAGATGTCCATGTATATAGGTGACATTTTGGTTGTTTGAAAATTGTGTTAGCAGTGAAGAAATAATTGGATTGGCAGAAACAGATAAGTTATTCTCCTGCTTCATTTCTGTTTCCTAGGCCATGGAGTCCAACTATGTTTTCTTCATTAATATTTCCAACTGTGGCATTCCAACCTCCAACCCCAAGAAGCACATTTGCTTGCGCGTTCTGTCGATTTCAAATTGAACTTGGTCATAAAACTCATCAACATTCTCTTTTTGTGCACCAATGACTGGAACATAAACTTGGTTAATCATCATATTAAAGGGTTGTCCATGAAGTCTAATTGATGTTTTTCAATCATTGATTGCATTGTAACTCAGTACTGTTCTTGCTATATCATTCTTAACTATGAAAGCAACATCGTTTCATCTTTGTTTTTCATGTCCTGAGTAGTAAACAGTGTGATCGGACTGAAAGTGTACAATTCTAGTCCATCTCAGTTTGCTGATGCCTGAGATGTTAATGTGTAGTTGATTCATTTCATTTTCCATGGTGTTAAGTTTTCCCATGCTTGTGGTTCTTACGTTCTTACGTTCCATGTTCCAACTGTATTTCTGCTTTGCAGCTTTGGATTTTCTTTTCCTGAAACTACAGGTCTCAAAAGCTTTAAATTAGCCACATCATAAACACCATTAGTACTCTGAAAGATCTTTATCTCTTCCTCAATAGCATGTTGAGTGCCACTTGACCTGAGGGGCCTATCATCTGGCACTATATCATCAATCATTTTATATTTTCTATCCATGTGGTTTTCTTGGTAAAAATACAGGAGTGGTTT